CTGTATAATTATGTGTGTTTCAGAAGAGACTCTGCACTGATTAAGAAAATAATGGAAGGATCTAGCCTGTCAAATTATATAGTTCCATCTCTATTTACAGAAGGTCTTGAGGTCCCTTTTCCACCACACACAGAAACCAGAATGCTGGACTTCCTATCCCCTGCATTCCCCAAAGAAATAAATTAGCTGTATGCAGCCTGTTACGGAACTGCCTCTGTTCCTTAGTGGAAGCAGAATTTATTCCCTCCCTCTCTTTTCTTCACTGATCTCTCCCTGCTTTGACAGTACAAAGTGCCGTATTTTTGCTCTATAAGACGCACCAGAGCATAAGACGCACCTAGTTTTTGGAGGAGGAAAACAAGAAAAAAAATATTCTGAATCTCAGAAGCCAGAACAACAAGAGGGATCGCTGCGCAGTGAAAGCAGCAATCCCTCTTGCTGTTCTGGCTTCTGGGATAGCTGCGCAGCCTGCATTCGCTCCATAAGATGCACACACATTCCCCCTTACTTTTTAGGAAGGAAAAGGTGAGTCTTATAGAGCAAAAAATACAGTAAGCCTTTCATTTAGGAGAGTTTTGAAGGCTTGTGTTTAACCCAGGCTTCCTCAACCTTAGCCCTCCAGATGTTTTGGGCCTACAACTCCCATGATCCCTAGCTAGCAGGACCAGTGGTCAGGGATGATGGGAATTGTAGCCTCAAAACATCAGGAGGGCCGAGGTTGAGGAAGCCTGGTTTAACCCATAATAGTAGACAACAAACATTACTTTTAAAGAGCATAGGGAACATGGTAGATAAGTTGTAGAAGAGAAACGGTCCTGGCTGCAAAGCGCTTATTCTCAGGAAAGCATCAAAGTTTCTACCATATCCCATGCAAAAAAGAAAAGAAAAAAAGGATGGAAAGACATTAATAGATTCAACCAACATCAAGCTTTAAATTTTTTGTCCCTGAAATATTTATTAAAATATTTATACCCACTCTTCATAGATACCAGGAGAAGATACAGAATACAAGATAACAACCCCAATTAAAAAGCAAAGAGCCATAAAGGAACAAGACCATCATCTAAAACAAATAAAAGCAGCCAAAAACAGAACAGCAAGCTGAAATAGTGGCATCATAACAAAATCAAGGACCGATAAATTTGATTTACAAAAGATCCAAGGATCCAAACTAGTCTTGTCTAGTTGGGCCCTATTTATATAGCTGATTGTACCATTTTACTGCCATTGCTAACGTGAGAAAATGAAATGAGAGTGAACATTTTGCATCTCTTAAATTAAAAGGACAGTAAAACAATAAACACCACTATGAAAACAGAAGAGTTTAATTTTTATTCAAACTGACAATTTTTTAAGGCACAAGAAGCATATGTAAGGGCTAAAAGGGCTAGAGGTTATCTAGTAATTTTCCCTGGTTGAGCATATAATATGCTGTTTTTGTACTCCGTACAACTTCTGCTGCAAGACAGGAAAACTGTAGTCCTAAGCATCTTTGTCTGGAAATATGTTGGTTTGAAATCAGTTAAGATTTCATTGCAGAGAAACAGGTTTAAGATCAGGATACAGTACAATGAACTATCCTCTATGCTGACATACTAAGGAGAGGGGAAATATTTAAAGATGAAAATAAAATTTAATAGGAGGCAACATCCAAATTAAATTCAGGTTAGGCAACAGATGGTGTGATCACACCAGATGCCCTGCCAGGGAAAAACATCTTTCTGCCCCTAGCATTGTTACGGGTGTTTTACTGTTGCACACAAGCATCTGGACAATATTATGAATTACCAGGTCTGAGCAGCGGCCTTAGCTTGCTCACATCCAGATAACAGTGTTCATTTCATATATTATTAAGCACTTACTAATAAATTCAGATTTAGAACAATTGCATCAACATCATTCAGTGAGATGTAAGTAATGGGATGATATAAAAAGGGGATTCAGAGAAGACTGACTGTTTTACAATCCTCTCTAAATCCCTTTCATCTCATTTCATAAAACTTATTTAATGATGCTTAGGTTTAATATATTTTATATATGTATATCGTTTTAATTTTATCAATGTTTAATTGTTTTTAATGATTGTTTTTCTTATGGTTTTTGTCAGTTCTTTTTTATCTATAAGCTCTTGAGTGAGATGGGCGCACAACCCTAGAGTCTGTCAAGACTGGCCCGTACGGGCAGGGGTACCTTTACCTTTTTATTATTATTATTAGTGGCAATCAAATGCAAATAATTGTGTATCTGAACAACAGAGCTCCAAAACCACAACAGCTCCACAGTGGCCCAGCCGGACCTCTCAAAAGCCAAATAAATGTTGCTTTGTGGCTCTTCTATAATGGGCACTGCTTCACATTTGCACAGTTCTGGCAATATAGGTAGGTGCTTTTTCTACCCATTCTTCCCCGGTTCTGTTCAAACCACCTACCGCTACCGCAGCAGGTATTTGCACACACACAAAGCTCTCAACATATTTTAGTACATGTTAGAATACATTTCATACCTTTGAGAGTTAAGTAGAAAAGCAATGCTTTGCCATTTTCAGAATAACATTTGAAGTCAACAGTCCAAAAATTATTGGGTGGGGCACACCACTCCAAATTCCTCTTGAAGCAGCACTCATGAATTTGGCTTGTGGTTCACCCAGCAGTGTGGGTTTTCTTGATTCACTCCCCCCCAATAAATTTCCTAGGTGAAGTAATCTAATTTTCACTTTGTATCAGATAATTTTCCAACTCCCTAGAAAATGGGCTAAAAACTTCAAAACCGCCAAGTTTGTCTAGTCCTGTATTTGCAGTTGTATCCATTCCTTGTTTCTAATTAAGTTGAAAAGCGAAAAAACTAGATGCCTAGTTCACTTCATGCCTAGTTCACTTAAGGTAAAGGTAAAGGGACCCCTGACCATTAGGTCCAGTCGTGACCGACTCTGGGGTTGCGGCGCTCATCTCGCTTTATTGGCCGAGGGAGCCGGCGTACAGCTTCCGGGTCATGTGGCCAACATGACTAAGCCGCTTTTGGCGAACCAGAGCAGCGCACGGAAATGCCGTTTACCTTCCCGCCGGAGCGGTACCTATTTATCTACTTGCACTTTGACGTGCTTTCAAACTGCTAGGTTGGCAGGAGCAGGGACCGAGCAACGGGAGCTCACCCCGTCACGGGGATTCAAACCGCCGACCTTCTGATTGGCAAGTCCTAGGCTCTGTGGTTTAACCCACAGCCATCCATTAAATGCAGAAGTGGTAGTTGTTAAAACTATGTCTTGCCCTCCTTGTGCTCAAAGCAGCACCTGTGAGTTACCCAGGCTCCCTCCCACTGGGGCAGAACTGCTTATTTCCATAAAAACAATTACATTAGGATTTGCAGTCCATTTGTAGGCCTTGCCTGTACCGTTAGCAGTCACTGTTCAATTCCCAAGGTGGCCCATTCTTTTTGAAACAGTCTCCTTTCACTTCTCTTCCATGTTTCTTCCAGCAGGAACTAGTCATTTGCACCCACTCTTTCATATAATCACTAATAATTCCCTCCTTCTACCACATGCACTAATAACCCCACATGCACACCCTATGACTTCATCCATATGCTTGCACACCTGCCCCATATGTGCACCTATGACCCCAGTCACACACTCTCATAAAATTCCCCCACATGCATGCCCTAAAAATCCTGTTTTCCTCCTGCATGCATCAGGAACCCCAAGAATGCACCCTTTGACCCCATCCATACATTCAAATACACCTTCCACACACATGCACTATTGATGATGCTCTCCACAGTCTATACACTTGCCTGAATAAGTCAACCTTTACTATCTGTGCATTCACGATGTGAGCTCACACATGCACTAATAATGCACCCTAGTCCTACTTTAGTAAGTCCACTCTTCCTACCTAGAGGGCTGCTGCTATCATTAGGCAAACTGTGCAGCTGCCTAGGGCTAGGCTGCAGACTTCAGAGGGGCGCAGTACTGACCTTCAGGGGGCAAAATTTAATATACATTAGTTTTTATTATATCATATACATTTCTGACATTATTTTACCTTTATGCTATATTTTGAAGAATTTTATCACAAGACATCTGTTTTTGAAAACCGAGGTTATCAATCGGGTTTGTGTGTGCGTGTAAGTACTTAGCCTTGCCTAGGGCACAAAATGCACTGGCACGGGGACTGTGCTACGTATTATTATTATAAAATGAATTTATACCCCCCCTTCCTCCCCAAGGAGCCCATATGCACTCAAAACACGACCTCACTCACACAATTGACTCCACAATCCATATGCACTCATGACGCTGCCTCACCCTTGCACTCGTGACCCTACAATCCATGTGCACTTAATACACCTTCACCCTTGCACTATTGACTCCACAATCCATATGCATTTGAGACCCTTTCACCCTTGAACTCGTGAGCCCACAATCCATGTGCACTCAAGACACCTTCACCCTTGCACTTGTGAGCCCACAATCCATATGCATTTGAGACACTTTCACCCTTGCACTCGTGAGCCCACAATCCATATGCATTTGAGACACCTTCACCCTTGCACTCGTGAGCCCACAATCCATGTGCACTCAAGACACCTTCACCCTTGCACTTGTGAGCCCACAATCAATATGCATTTGAGACACCGTCACCCTTGCACTTGTGAGCCCACAATCCATATGCATTTGAGACACTTTCACCCTTGCACTCGTGAGCCCACAATCCATGTGCACTCAAGACACCTTCACCCTTGCACTTGTGAGCCCACAATCCATATGTACTCATGCTGCTGCCTCACCTTTGCACTAGTGACCCCACAATCCACACACACACACACACACACGTGTGCACCTCCCGCTCCCTGCCCGCTCTGCAGGACCCAGCCCTAGCTTCGCTCTCCCAACTCCGCGCCCAGTTTTCGCCCCGGGCGCAACTTTCCGCCGCGCCGCCTCTCGCTCCGCCACCCGCGGCCCCTCCTCAGGCTCCCCCCGGGGCCTCTCCCTCTCCGGCCCCTACCTGCTGCCCAAGAAGGTCCGGGCCAACTCGGCCAGCTCCGCCGGCGCTTCGGCCTGGCTGAGGGACCCCAGGCGGCCCGGCGCCGGGCTCCAGGGCGGCGCGTCGTCCGGGCCCAGCGGCCTCGGGAAGTCCCTCAGGAGGGTCCCCACGAAGCCCCGCGCCGCCTCCGGCCACGCCATGGCCTCCACGCGCCAGCGAGCGAGCGAGCAAGCACCCGAGCGCTTCCCGCGAGCTGCCTGACTGGAGGGAGGCGGACTCCGCCGCGCGGCCCGGCCTCCGCCTCCTCCTCTCCCCGCCTCCCCTGCCTTCTGACCCCCGAAGGGAAGCGGAGTGGCGGCGCTGGCCCCGCCTGGAAACGGCTCCTGTCAGGGCCGGGCAGCGGCGGCGGGGAAAAGGGTGCGGGGCAGGGGGGACATCATCATTATGGAACGCCCTCCTGTCAGATGTCAAGGAAATAAAGAACCACACAACGTTTATTATTATACTTAATAAAGTAATAATAATAATAATAATAATAATAATAATAATAATAATAATAATAATTTGGTGGTGTTGTTGTTGGGCGCCCTCCCATCAGATGTCAAGGAAATAAAGAACTACACAACATTTATTATTATACATAATAAAATTATTATCATCATTATAATAAATAATAAATATTTGTTGTTGGGCGCCCTCCCATCAGATGTCAAGGAAATAAAGAACTACACAACTTTTAGAAGACATCTGAAGGCAGCCCTGTATTGGGGAAGTTTTTTTTTTTTTAATGTTTGAGGGTTTTACTATGTTTTTATATGTGCTGTAAGCCGCCCAGAGTGGCTGGGGATTAACCCTGCCAGATGGGCGGGGTATACATAATAAAATTAGTAGTAGTAGTAGTTGGTATGGGGTGCCCTCCCCATCTGATGTCAAGGAAATAACGACACAACTTTTAGAAGATATCTGAAAGGCAGCCCTGTATCAGGAAGGTTTTTATTGTTTGACCTTTTACTATGTTTTTATATGTGCTGTAAGCCGCCCAGCCAGATGTGTGGGTAATCGTCATCATTATCATCATCATGAAATCTGCACACCGCTTGATTTCCTTTGGTTAAAAAAACACATGCCTCAAAGCTGTTTACAGGAGACAAACGGTAAAATCAAGGGGAAAAAAACAGCATGCAAAAGTTAAAATGCCAAAACAGATTAGAATTGCCTCAGTTTTCTAAGCCGCTGGGCAGACTTGCCTACACAGGAATGTTTTTAGCAGGCGCTGAAGAGAGTACTGTACAGTGAAGGTCTAGGCACCTTTAGTTCCTTGTTGTGGCTGGAAAATGTGTCCCTTCTGCCCACCCCACCCATGTTTATCTGAAAATGTTTTAACAGATTTCCAGTGCCATTCATTTGTGAAGGAGTCCCACCGAATTTAAGGGGGCTTACTCCCAGGTAAGTAGGAATAGGAGCGTCGACTTTATTGCAAGCAGCAGCCTTCTTGGAAGGGCAGGTGGTAAATAATCATCAACAGTGACTAAAACAGAAACGATACTGATATTTCTGTTGCTTTGGTTCTGTGTGTACATATGCATGTGTACGCACACACACACAAAGAAATAAATATACAGAATGCATGCACAGAGACATCTGCCAACTGAAATGAACAAGTAGGTGCTTGTGAAGATCAGACGACGTTTGTAGGTTTGCAATAAGTTTTGTGAGGAGTATTATTGGAAGTATTGCAAAAATGGAGAAGGGGAAGGATGATTTGTTAAGAGATGTGAAGGCAATATAAAGTTAAGAAATGCATAAGAAGTGGTTAAAACGGTGGATCATCAGAGGTGCTGATGGAAGTCTAAAAAGATTGTATAAGTGATACATTTTGTGTTACATTTTATAATTTATATGTTAAAATCAATAAAAATTAAAAAAAGAAGAAATGAACAAGTAGGTGCAATGCCTGGCATGCTCACAGCTCCTCCTGGAGAACATGTAGGCACAGTAGTAGTAGTAATAATAATAATAATAATTTATTATTTATACCCCGCCCATCTGGCTGGGCTTCCCCAGCCACTCTGGGCGGCTACCAACCAAATATTAAAATACAGTAATACATCAAACATTAAAAGCTTCCCTAAACAGGGCTGCCTTCAGATGTCTTCTAAAAGTTTGGTAGTTGTTCTCTTTGACATCTGGTGGGAGGGTGTTCCACAGGGAGGGCGCCACTACCAAGAAGGCCCTCTGTCTGGTTCCCTGTAACTTGGCTTCTCACAGTGAGGGAACCGCCAGAAGGCCCTTGGTGCTGGACCTCAGTGTCCGGGATGAACAATGGGGGTGGAGATGCTCCTTCAGATATACTGGACCGAGGCCATTTAGGGCTTTAAAGGTCAGCACCAACACTTTGAATTGTGCTCGGAAACGTACTGGGAGCCAATGTAGGTCTTTCAAGACCGGAGTTATGTGGTCTCGGCAGCCACTCCCAGTCACCAGTCTAGCTGCCGCATTCTGGATTAGTAATGGCATTAGGATTGGCCCTATCAGCCGGCCAACTAATTCACATGAACAATAACAACAGTGTGGCAGGCATTCCATCACCCCAGGCTGTTGCCAGCCAAAGACATAGTGATGGTAAATAGGAAACCTGCCCTTACAGGCATAATGACTTAGAAAATGCAGTACAAGCTCTAAATCCAGTCTCCTCAATTGCTACACATCCAAAGTTATTTATTTAGTGCATGACACAACTGGCATAGCTGAAGGAAAACAAGAGAGAACACTACCAATTCTCCCTCTGGTGGCTTCTTGGTAGATCTGTCTCCTCGCCTTTTACAGCAGAAATGTTTTGTTTGTTCAGAAGATTTCTATCAGCGCCTCACCATATGATCCCAGAGTGGGTTACAGCAGCAGAATACACCGCCGCAAAAAACAGCCAAAACCATTACAATAATAAAACGTATTTAAAAATTCCAAATGGAATAAACTCCTGACTCCTAATGTCCTCAGCTTCTGGAATCGATGGGAGTGGGGAGTCCAGGGTCACAGGTTACATTTTCTCTGCTCTACAGAGCACCTAATAAAGAGAGTTAATATGGATAGATAGTGGGCAATCTACAGGGAATTGCTGTACTTTACAGGGGGAGAACCCAAATTTAAAGTAATGGAAAATGTAAGGAGCCATGTTACGGATTGGTTACAATACCATCAGTTACATGAAATGTTTAAATTAAGATAGAAATAATGGTTTTCTGGACCAAGGCTCACAATTTGAAAAAGAACTTTTGCAAAACAAAGAGAAACTTTTGTCCAAAATGTACAATTTGTTCTTAGAGTGGGAAACAAAAAACGAGCTTGTTAAAGCCTCAATGACACACTGGGCAAGAGATATAGGTCCTATTACAGATTTTAACCTCTGGGAAATCTCTTCTCTTTCCTGTTGTTACTGATTTTTGTAGATAGCAAGCCCACAATTTATGTGCATTTAACTTGTGCACATTTAGCTTTATGTGTTGAGGCAAAAAATTAAAATTAAAAAGGGAGTGGAAAGCGGGAGTTCCAGGAAAATAACTATGGCAATCCCGCCAGTCATTGCACCCAATGTTTTGACATTACGCGGTTTTGGCTTTAAGCACGACGTGGGCTTACTGTAACAGAAAATGAAAAGAAAAGCAATTTTATGAAAAAAGAGAAAATGTTTCTCAGGCTGCTGAAGTGAAGCCTATGAACCTCCTATGGGGAATTTTTTAGAAAGCCTGGGTGCAGGACTGCAAACTAAGTGGAGAATGAAAGGCCTTTTACGAACGTAAGCGAAGGAATGCCTTCTCCCATACAGACCTGCCCAAGTGTTAAGATCTGTGGGGAAGCCCCTCCTAGTAGTTGGCTGCACCAGCATGGGAGTCTCCCCCTCCGATATACGACTGGCGTTGATCTTGGTGAGTTTTCGGCACCCGGTGAATACACATTTGTTTGTTGGGTATTAACACTGGAATCTATTGTCCATTGTTGTTTTGCTGGGCATTGTGAATATTTGCATGTGTTTTACTCTGAACGTTGTATTTTAAAATTGTTCATGTACCCAACCTCTGGAACTGCCGATGCAATGAAGAGCAAACATTTAAAGTGAGAATAACCAGACGTTAAGAATACCTCCGTTGGGTCAGAGCAAGAAGCTGTCTAGTTCTGCATCACATTTCTTGCCTCTGAAGCTCACAAACAGGCCATGGAGGGAATAGTTTCCCCCTGTAGTAATAATAATAATAATAATAATAATAATAATAATAATTTCTACCCCGCCCATCTGGCTGGCTTGCCTCAGGCACTCTGGGCGGCTTCCAACAGAAGGTTAAAAATGCATTAAAACTTGTTGTGCTCCCTGGTTTCTGGTACTTAATAGGACTAACTGTTTCTGAACCTGGAAATCTGTACAGCTGTATGCAATGTAGTGCTAAGTTACAGCCACTTAGTGGTATATTTCCCACTCGGCCATCTGCTATGCAACAGGTTTCCGCTAGTGCAACTGTTGCATTCGATGCATCATTAAAACTCATCCGTCCACAAAGAACACTGGATAACATCCCATCATGACTAACAGCCACTGGCACACTATTCCGCAAATTTGTCTAACCTCCTTTTCAGAGCCATCCAAGCTACCGGCCTTCACCGAATTCTGTGGCAGCGAGTTCTGTACATTGCACGACGTGTGAAGTTCTTCCTTTCGTCTGTCTTGAAATCCCCCATCTATCAGTTTCATTTGATTACCTTTGCATTGACGTACAAAACCTCCTCTGCCCATTTTCTCAACATCCTGCACAAATTTTATAGACCTTTACCATGTTCCTTCTCCCTAATTTTTTTTTTTTTACTAACAAAAAGTTTTATTTATAAAGAACTACAATTCAACACCAAAGTTACTGAAAATTATGCAAGCACAAATTAAGTAACTGGCTTCATTTTTCACTCTTCAGACACCAATGGTAGAATTGGGAGTGATACCATTAAACCACTGCATATTTTCTTCTATAGGTTTAAAGATTAAACTAATAAGCAAAACAGACTCAATAGCCATTTCTAGTTAGAAACACTCTGTAGAAGAGGAATATTGTCTCCTTTTAACATGATTCGACCCAGCTGTTTCCTTGATTTTGTCTTGGAGTGAATCTCCTCAGCATCATCCAGAATCAAGTTCATATTCATCTAATCCAATAATACAGCCTTCTGTCCTCATGTTCACCTGTTCATACAGCCACACCTGAATTCTGGACCTATTCTGTAGGTATCTGAAGATGAGGTTGATGGGCTGCACTATCACTTTCTGCACCTTCTGGC